AGACGGGGTTTCACCATGTTGACCAGGATGGTCTCGATCTCTTGACCTCGTGATCCACCCGCCTCGGCCTCCCAAAGTGCTGGGATTACAGGCTTGAGCCACTGCGCCTGGCCGATTTTTCCATTTTTTTATACGTCCCCCCCCAGCTTCCTGGTAATGGTACTGTGCTATTGGTTGAGTGGAATGAAAATGAGTCGTTACCTAGCCAGGACGTAGGAAAAGCGCTCAGACGCGGTGACTAGCATTACTGTTAGTATTATGACCATACATTATTTAATCCTTTCCTTCTTGATAGAAATGTAGTCTGTTTCTAATTTTTATTTTAAATACTTCTGGGAGGGACAGTGTGTCTATAATGCTTTTCCTGGATGCAAATCATTTCTTTAGGAGGCTATCCATTTCTAAACAAGTACCATACGCATCGTACAAGCATCAGGTCTGTTTCGCTAAATTCAGACAGGGCGTGGCAAGGTGAACCCTGCTGGGGACTGAGAAGGTTTGGAGTCTCTCCCATGGGTCCGAGGTGCTACTTGGGTGCCCAGACCCTTCCATCAAACATCCTGCGTCGCATGCATCATTGATCTCTGTTGCTTTCTTGGTTCTTGCCCCTAAGCCTACAAATATGGCTGATTCTCTGCTGTCTTTTGAAAATCTTGCCTCCATCCTGACTACTTCTTACTCAGCTGTTCTGTCTTCTCTTCCTTTTACCACCTCACTTCTCAAAAGAATAATCCCTCTCTATCTGGAAAGCCTACCTCTGAAACTCTGTGGCCAACTCCTACAAAGTCATCAAGACCCTGCCCATGTAGACTTCTTTTGGGATGCTTGCCTGATTCCCTAAGTTGCTCCCATGCTAGTGACCATTACGGGGTACTGTGAGCTGTGGAGGGATGGTTCTGTTTTTCTTTCTTTCATTTTCTTTTTTGTTTGTTTTGAGGCAGAGTCTCACTCTGTTGCCCATGCTGGAGTGCAGTGGTGCAATCCTGGCTCACTGCAACCTTTGCCTCCTGGGTTCAAGCAGTTCTCCTGCCTCAGCCTCCCAAGTAGCTGGGATTACAGGTGCCCACCACCACACCTGACTCATTTTGTATTTTTAGTAGAGATGGGGTTTCACCATGTTGGCCAGCCTTGTCTCAAACTCCTGACCTCAGGTGGATTTGCCCGCCTCAGCCTCCCAAAGTGCTGGGATTACAGGCGTGAGGCACTATGTCTGGCAAGTTCTGTTTATTTTCGTATCTCCAGCCTCTAGCCCCAGAATGGAAGCACAGGAGATGCTCTGTGAAGGTTAGTGAGAGACGTGGTTAATGGGAAGATTGGAGCAGTCCTGAGGCTCAGCGCCTGACCTACAGCGGTGCTCAGTAAACGTGAATGTCAGGCACTTGCAAGCTGCATTCTACAGCACAGAAGTACTGTGCATTCTGCAGAGACTGTCATTTGATGAGTCTCTGTCAAATTATGTCCCATGTACCTCTGCTCCTGGATTGCCCTTCTCCCCGGCTTCTCCTTTCTCTCCCTGTGGGCACAAAACACCACTGCATGAATGCCAGTCATTGAGAAAGCCTGGGCACAGATGTGCCCTCAGATCTGTGACAAACTAGACTGGGACTCGACTGGCCTAGGTGTCAGCAAGGAACACCGTGGAGGATGTGGAGGTGTCAGCTGTGGGGCAGGGACTATTAACAGTGTCTTAAAGAATCTGAGGCTCTAGTACAGGGGAGGAGAGGCTGATACTCTCTATGGACTCTGCAGTGGACAGGCCTTAGGGTGACCTGTGACTTGTTTCTTGGCCGTGGAGTAAGGCACATGACAAAAGTGATGGGACCTCACTTCGATGATGTCACAGATTACAACATGTGACATACAGATGGTGACATATATGTAAAGATTGTTAGAAATATGTTACATGAACACACACACATGCACACAGCTCTGTCTTGCTAGCACTAGACGCTAGAGAGACCTTCCTGCTGACCTTGGCCTTGAAGAAGCCAGTTGCTGTACTGTGAACTGTTTACTGTGGTGGGGGCTGGGGTGGGGCGCATATGGCAGGAACTGTAGGTGGCATCTAGGAGGTGAGTTCTGTTCCAGCGAGGAACTGGATTCTGTCAGTGCCAGTGAGCTTGGAAGGGGATCCCTAGTTCCAGATGAGAATGTAGCTGACTGACACATTAATTGCAGTCTCATGAGACCACAGGCAGGGGACCCAAGTAGAATGTGCCTGAACTCCTGACCCACAGAAACTGTGTGCCAATAAATGTGTATTGTCTTAAGCTGCTACCTTTGCAGTGATTAGCTATGCAGCAGTAGATAATGAATATGGCTCCCGAGGCCAGAGCTTCTGAGGGGTCAACTGGGGGAGGCTGACAGGGGAGCTTCCACACCACATCCAGGAGCGCCCTCTCCATCCTGGGGCTGCTCTACGGTGCAGTGGAGCTGCTTGCTTATGCCGACTGAGTGAGTGAGTCCTGCACTGGGTCAGACTTGGGACTGGTTGACTTCTGAGGCTCTATCCACTCCCTAGAGGAGAATTCTGAGCCTAAGATTCTAGCACCTTCAAAATAGGTTGGTGCTTCTAGAGGCCATCAGACTGTGAGTCAAGGAAGCTGCAACCTCTGTTCATACTCAAATGCAGTAGCAGATCCATGTTTAAGAGGATCCCCTTCAACCCAGGCTGGGTAGCCAGGCTTGGGGTTACGGCAGCCTTGTCACACTGCCAGGCACCCGCCAGGCTGGTTGCCCCAGGGAGGACCCTCATCTGTGGCTGCCTGCAGACAACCTGGACACTCAGCCCTCTGGCCTCACTGTAAACCCCAGGGGCCTAGCTGGATTAGGCAATCCTGCCACTCTGGGTCTGCCGTGGCCACCAAGTTCTCCTTTTCTCCCCAATTAGAAGGTCTAGACCCTACAGATCGACAACCATCTCTGATAGTGGGGCTCACGGTGGCCTTGCTGAGTGTCTGTGACGAACTGTGGCATGCACACGATGTGGCTCTCTTGCTCCAAGGGTAAGTGTCTAGGATGGCACCCATTTCACAGATGGAAACCACTGAGACCCAGAGAAGGCTCCCAAGTCAAGTGGGCAGCCTAGTGGACTGGGCGAAGGTCCCATTTCTGTACATGCAACCTCTCCTGGGTATAGGGCTTCTGCACACTTTCCAAAGAGGCAACTTTAAACCATGACTTGATCACTTTCCCAACAATTCAGTGAGATATTCAGGGAAGACATTATTATCACCATTTTAGAGATGAGGAGATGGGGGCTCTGCAAGGCTCAGTGGCTTTCCCAAGGATATAGATGACAGGGCAGGACTCAGGTCTCCTGAGTCAGGAAACGGGCCTTCATAAAGTGAGTGACTTGAGAGAAAGCCGAGTGAATCCCCCACCCCGAAGTCCTGGCCCCAGGTTTCTAGTCCAGGCAGCCGCTGGCTGGCACCATGCAAAGTGCAAAGCCCTGCAAAGTTGGTGTCATGCTTGGGAGTGGTGTATGCACGGAAGGGCAGTCAGCCCTGCCACTCACCGGCAAGCCTGCTTGTCCTGTCTCCCCTTTCTCCCCCTTCTCTCCTGGGCTCCCTGGGTTCCCGTTTTCTCCCTTCATTCCTGGAGGTCCATCTTTTCCTGGGGGGCCTTGGGGACCAGGAGGGCCCATGTCTCCTGGTTTACCGCGAGGTCCCTTTAGAAAATACCAACAATGCTTCTTAGACACATTAATGGAGAAAAAAGGAGAGAGGGAGAGAGAATAGAAAAGTCCAAAGGCCTTGGCTCTTTGGTGCTTGATAGGGGCAGGCACAGAGAGCCCAGCTGGGATCTGCCTGGCTCCTCATGGGGCTTGCAGAGTGGGCCCCTCTCCCCGCCCTTCCCATCTCCCCTTGCCCACTGGGCTCACAGCAGGGCCAGATCTAGAGCCTTCCTGCCCCCAGGGCCAGGACTGTCTTCAGAGTTTTGACTGGAGGATGTCTGTTCATACCTTTTCCCCATCGTGTCCTGGAGGGCCTGGCAGTCCAATCTCCCCCTGTAGCCAGAACAACTAAAGGTGACTCTCCAGGCAGAGACCATAGCAGCCACCAGTTAACGCATTGCTTAGTGCACCCAGCGTCCCTCTCCGCACTTCCCCATAGAGTTTGCTCATTTAGTTCCCACCGTGTTCCTGGGAGGTATTAACTTGCATTGCCTCTCTTCTACAGACAGGACCCCAAAGCACAGAGCTGTGTGCCTGAGGCCCACAGTGAGTGAACTGGTGAGCCAGCATCCCAGTCCAGGTGCTCTAACTCCATGTCCACGTTTTAGCCACAACCTTGCACTACTGCCTCTGAGAGCCCTGGGCTCCCTGGCTCACGGGCAGAAGGGTTCTCACCTTCAGGTCTCCTCTGAAGGCAGAGCCCCTGCCCTGGCTGCTCCACAGGAGCTCCCTTCCTCTTCACACACCAAGCCACTTCTCTGGGTTGGGTGGAGAGTTAAAGGAGGTGGCAAAATGATGTAGGTCCCCTACCCAGAGAAGCAGAGGAAAGGGCAGAGAATTCTGCCTGCTAGATCAGGGGAGGCTTCAAGGAGGAGGTGGCCTCTGAATTGGGCCTGAAAGATGAGAAGGGCTTTGAAAGAAAGGGAAGGGGGAAAGAGACTTTCAGGGGAGAGGACCTCATGCATGGAAGACAGGGGGGCAGACCTTCTGAGAAAAACACAGAGGCGGGTGGGGTGTAAGAGGAAAGCAAGGGCAGGAAGCCAGGGAGGAGGGTTGGGGAGAGGCTCAAATGCTGAGGTCCCTGATGGCGCCCTCACTCCTGCTGTGGGTCTGGTTGAAGCAAGGGCAGGGGTGTGTCTAGTCCCAGGCCCCATGGCATCAGGAGGCTCTGTGAATTACAGGATCCCAAGCAGATGGCAAGGGGAGGACAGAAGGGCCACAGCGGCTGGGAGGTGGGTGGGCGGGGCCCTCGGTGCCTTGGAGCAGCAGGAGGGTGGTGGTGCGGGGAAGGTGAGAGGGTCACTGCCTTTGCAAGGTCTTCATCCCCTTTGTCAAGACAAGATTTACCTTCTGGCCTGGAATCCCTGGAGCTCCAGGTGGGCCGATTTGCCCAGGAAGACCAGGAGGCCCCTAGGAAAGAAGGGAAAGACACATGGAAGAACTGTCCCACTGAGGAGGGCGGCCTGTCCCCAGGGGGCTGTACGTGGAGGCTGGCTTGTAGAGATAAGTTGTTTTCAAGCATTTCTCCAGTGATAGAAACATATTTTTTGCAAAGAAAATAACATGGGGAAACCCAAAATGCAAAACATACAAGCACCAAGTGTGACTGGGTTGAAGTGGGGGTGGGGTTTGGAGAGCCACGCCCAATTCCCTCTCCCTCTCCTTCTCTCTAGGGTACCTCTGGTGGCCCTTTGGGCTCCAAGAAGCTAAGTCTGACCTTCCCGAATAATGACTTAAACATGTCTCCAGGAAACAACCCAAAAGCCCATCAACAGGGGAATGCATGGTACATCCATACAATGAAATACTACTTAGCAGAGAAAAAGAACCAAGTGCTGATGACATGGGTGCATCTCAAACACACTCTGCTGAGCAAAGGCAGTCAGGCACAGGTGACTGCATACCACGTGATTCCAGTTATATGAAACTCTAGAGGAGACAAAAGACACATCTAATCTGCAGTGACAGAAGTGATGGCAGTGCAGTGGTGACCTGTGGCTGGGAAGGGCTCCCAAGGTGCATGAATACCTGGGTATTTACACTTATCAAAACTCATCAAACTCTACACCTAAAATTAGTACCTTTTATTATGCATAAGTTACACCTCAAGGTTGATTTTAAAAGAAAAAATGTTTCTGGGAAAGTTTTATTTCCAATAGCTATTTCACATTATTATCATTATTAAGACAGAGTCTTACTCTGTCACCCAGGTTGGAGTGCAGTGGTGCGACCTCAGCTCACTGCAAGCTCCGCCTCCTGGGTTCAAGTGATTGTCATACCTCAGCCTCCTGAGTAGCTGGGATTACAGCACCTGCCACCACGCCTGGCTGATTTTTGTATTTTTAGTAGAGATGGGGTTGCATCATGTTGGCCAGGCTGGTCTTGAACTCCTGACCTCAAGTGATCCGCCCACCTCAGCATCCCAAAGTGCTGGGATTACAGGCGTGAGCCACTGCACCCTGCCAAATAATATATTTCAATGACTCAAAATGAAGCTCATTGATTCCAGAACCATGTCATTGATAGCAGTTTCTGGATTGGGATATCATACAAGTGGTGTTTGATTGTGAGTTTGTGCCATCCCTAAATGTGTTCGGTAACTCTTAGCCATGAAAACATATTAGGTGAATTGAAATTTCTGTAGTCAGAGAACCTCACGATCTCTCCTCCTCCACCTTACAAGTTAAACTTGGTGGTGGTCATTTTAACTACAAATATTTACCACGAGCCTGTCACTGGTAGGCACCTGTACAAAACCCAGGCTTGAAACTCCCTGGTTTTCCAAGCGCAGATAATGAAATTGATTTCCAGGAAAGGGGGCTAGGTGGAAGGTTGCTGCTAGTTTTTTGGGGTAATGGATTTAATTAGCTAAAAGTTGGGGGAAAAAAAAAACATTAAAAACTTCCTCTTCTGTACTACTATTTCCTTGACACAGCTGTAAACAAAACCCAGCATTTGTATTGTCACCAGAGAGCACAGCTGTATTGGTGAAGGGCCTTTACACAGAGGACAGCCATGACCCAGGGCATGGGCAGCTCTTGAGGCGCTCCCACCAGTCCTGACTTGTCACCTCCAGCTCAGATCATCGTCTGCCCCAACACTGCCGGGTCACCCGCGATCTGCAGCCCAGTGTCTGCATTCTGGAGGGAGCACTCACGTCCTTGCTTCCCGGCTGCTGTCCCAGTCCCCCGCCCAGTGCTCAAGGAAATCCAGGAGGAGCGAGACTTACCATCAAGGCCAGCGTCCGGATCTCCTAAAAAACCAACACCACACAATCAGTTGAAGAGCAAATCAAGAGCCAAGTGTAAGGCTTGGTTCTCACTGCACAGTCATGGAAACATGGGGGCTGGGCCCCCAAAGGAGCACGGGAGGAGGGGGACCCTCGCAGGTGGGCTCCACAGCCCCCAGACTCACCCCACCCCCACCCCCACCTCTCTCTGAGGTTTGTAGTCACTGTACAGGAAATACGCAGCATCTAAGCATGATTATACTCCGAGGCTGTCCTGCAAGGGACTCAGGCACCGCCCTAAATGGACTACAACCTTTACTTCACTATACTGAAAGGGAAGGAAGCACCACCTCTTACTGTTTCTAGGCACCTTCTGAGGACCTGCCCTTGGTCTTTCCTCTGCTCCCAGAACCCAGATTTCAAGGTTGCCACGCACCTCCCTTTAAACAGACACAGTATAGCAAAATACCGAGCCGCTCAAAAAATAGATCAGAGAGATGACGTTGGCTTTCAAAGAGAATTTTACACCTTGTAAATGGAGTCGCACATGGACACAGACTCCTTTGAAGAAGCGGTTCTTGAGTGGGGGCAATTTCTTACCCCAAGGGACAATAGGTCGTGTCTGGAGACACAGTTTGTTGTCACAGCTGAGGCTGGGGTGCTCCTGGCGTCTGCTGGGTAGACACCAGGGACGCTGCTGCACATCCCACAAGATACAGGACCATCTCTCCTCCCACCACAAAGATTCTCCAGCCCCACATGCCAACAGTGCCAAGGCTGAGAAACCCTGCTTTAAAGGGTGGGGAGCGGGAGCTCGTGAATTTGAAACAGGATTAAATTCACACTAAAGGAGATGTGTTCCAGGAAGAGTTTCTGCTGTGTGAAAGGGGGTTAGGCATGCACTAAAGAAATGGGGCCCCAGTACCCTGGATGAGCTGCACCCTGCAGGGTGCCAGGAGAATTCCACTGCGGCTCTCAGGTACCCAGAGGCAGGATAACTGGCCAGCTGGCGCCAGACAGAGAGCCCAGCCGCCGGGGGCCACTTGCCAGGAGGCTACACAGTGGGCGGCCAAAGAGGAGGAAGTGGCTCTCCTGGCAGCTCGGCCTGAGGGCAGGGCCCCTACTCTGCTGTGTGGAAGAACCCCCTGATCAGGGCATGGTGCAGAGCCCTGAGGCCCATGAGGATCTCGGCCTCGGGGCTGGACACCCTCCTCTCACCTGGAGAGCCTCATTGATGTTTCCATTGTAATCCACCATCTCTCCTTTTCCTGGTTCTCCCTTGGAGCCCTAGAAGGCAAATGAGATCTCAACCCAGGGCCTGGACCGGGAGGGCTGGGAGGGCAACTGTGGCCTGCTCTCTATCAGCCCACACTGGCCGCACCAGCCTGTACACAGGTGGACCCAGAAGAGCCAGAGGGGCCCTGAGGATTCCGAACACTCTCAAAGGATGCTCGGGGACTGCAGAACAAACTGAGAAGACTCCATGTGAGAAGTCTGGGCCAGGCTGCCCTGGGAACTTTCAGTCCACCTAGGCTGCCAGTCAGACCTCCCACCTGACGGCCAGAATGCTCTTACCCTCCTTCCCCCTCAAGACCCCAAGGTCAGGCCTGTGAAAGGAAGATAGGACTCCAGTTCACTCTGGCAAAAGAGAAAAAGTTCAGCAGAAAGCTGAGTCATGCAAGAAGCTGTCTTTCCTTTTGTTCCTAAGCTACAGATAAAGTTCAAATATCCCCACAGGTCGCTGCTCCATGCTCACCTTAGCTCGTGTAAAGTGCCGATTTACTGAGCATGAGGCTAATACCTAACTGACTATTCCCCTACTTGCTCCTTTTCCCTGGCCATGTGCGGATTACCATACCTTTCCTCTTTCCCCTCCAGCCTGCTTTTCCCCTTTAAATACCAAAGCCCTCTAAATCATCTTTGGCAAAAGGCACAGACCTGTACCTGTCTCTTGGGCACACGCCCTTAATCTTGGCAAAATAAATTTCTAAATATTAATTGAGACCTGTCTCAGAGGCTTTTGGATTTATCAGCTGGTTCATGCTGACTCCAGTGGGGAGAGGCACATACCTTGGGGCCAGCTGCTCCCGGTTCTCCAGGCTCCCCCTGTTGCATGAAAAATTGGAGTAAAGTAGGGATAAGGTTGGTACAGAGAACTTGATGTCCCCAGATAGGCCACGTGATAAGGGCCAGGAGGCTCATCTTAGCTCTTAGTTCACAGAAGAGCAGGCTCTGCCCCTTCAGGAGACATCCCGGGAACACCCACCCACACTCCTCTCTCCCTTTAAGCTCCTCTGTGCTGCCTCCCAATTCAGACTCGGTGACATTTTTTTCTGTTCTGTGTTTGTTGTTAGTGACTCCCTTTTGTCTCCCTCTTTTCCCCAGTCCCCTAAGTCAGCTGCCTCCATGGGATCAGGGACATTTGTTTCCCTTTCATTCCATTCTGCTCAGGTATCCAGGCTCAGCAACTTTTTGCCAATTGTCTGAGTGGCAGTTACTATCGAGAGCCCACGTGGTTCTTTTACTGCCCACTCTACTTGTGAAAGACCCAGAGTGCCAAGGGAGACATGGAGGGTCAGGAAGGTCTCAGGAGGATTTGGGTGTATGAGCACCCACCTCCTAGAGTGGGCGGGTGGAAGGATTTCTTCCTGTTGCAAACAGTACAGAGCTATGCGGAATACATGAAAAAGCGGTGTAACTTGTGAAAAACCAAGCGCAGTTTCAATTTTTCTGGGATAATTGAAGACAATTGACAAAAATCAAGTGAGGAAGTAAAAATAAACAAAACAGGAACCCTTTGGTGTGACTCCTGATGACCCTGCTCACAGGACACGGGGCCACTGCCACCTCCAGGTATCCCACCCTCTTTCTCCTCCACTGCCACAGCACTTGAGTCACGGTGAACTCATGAGGGACGCTGCAGCCTTTCATAGGGAGTCGCTGGAGAGAAACGAGAGCACCTCGTTCGTTCACCAGTGGCTGAGGAAGTGCTGTGTCACTTCCTGGCCAAATGTCCCATCCCTAGACTGGCTTCTGCACGGCTGTTGTCTCAGTGGCTGGCTCTCTAAAGCGCAAGCCAACCAGGAAATAGGGAAGCCAGGGGTCATGGCCAGTCAGCCTTGTGCTCTGAGGGCTAGCCCTAGGGTGGGCCGGCATGATTCTTGACCTCCCAAGCTGACCCCCATCTTACAGCTCTGGAATGTCAGGGGGGGTGTCTGTACCTTGTCTCCTTGCTGCCCTGGGGGGCCAACCTGGCCATCGACACCTGCTTCTCCCTGGGGGAGAGGAGAGAGTTGGGTTGAAGGCACGCTGGGCACCTGTAGCTGCTTATGGGGGAAAAGATGGCCTTGTTGCTCATGCCCTGGGTGTTGCCTGTGGGCCCCTCTTTCCCCCATGGCTTCTGCACCTCCCACTGTTCCACCTCCCTGACTCCTACCCACCCTTGGGCCCAGCCTGAATCTCGCTTCCTCTGGAAGCCCACCCCTGTTTTCCTCCCCCGCATTCTGTACCCTTTACTGGTGTCCACTCTGCCCTGCCAGGCCCTCCTATGCCCATGCAGAGCCCAGCCCACGGCAGGTGGGTATGGGCGGAATGCACGAATGTATTGCTCCAGATCGTGTAGAGTAATGCATGTTTTCCTTCTGAGCTAACAAAGAGACCCCTTCATTTCTCAGTGCTGCTAAAGCAAACCAATAGGAGGCATCTACTCTGGGAAATCCAAATCTTACCATTGCACTTTTCAAGCAGCAAAAGGAAAGTGAGGGCTGTGCCCATTTGCAGCTGCCCCCACTGCTGCCACCTACCAGATGTGCTGGTACTAGGTGAGTCTCAGCTGATAATTGACCTGCAACCTACTCAGAGCCAAGGTGGGGGGCCTCTTGGCTGTCCTAAGGCCCTGAAACCGTTGGTTCCTCGCTCAGTTACATCATAGCAATCGAGGCCCTGCTGCCATTGGGCCTGGGCTCAGCTACATCAGAGTCATCTGAGTCAATGGGACCATCCATCTGCCCCATCTGTTTGGAACAGGACCTGGGTCCAAATGACCTTTTTGGAATCCATGGGAAAAACCACACACCTGGAGCAGGGGAAGGCTAGAGAAGGCGGGATGTCCAAGACGTAGAGTCCCTGAGAACAGGCTGAAGATAAAGGCCCCAGGAAAACACCTCCCAACACTGACTCCAGGGAACACTCACCTTTGGCCCTGGGGGCCCTGGGGGCCCAGGGAGCCCTGGAGGGCCAGGTTCCCCTCTGCCTCCTCCAATGGAGTTGCCAGCATCGCCTTTCTCTCCCTGGGGGTGGAAGGTGGAGTTAGCATCCCTGGTGTGGAGGAAGATCTAGACTGAGCTCCAGAGGGACAATATGGGCTGTCGGCCCCAGGATGTCTGGGGACCAGGGGCCTTCAGAACCCCAGCCTGATGGTTCCATGGGATTTGAGGAGAGATTGGAAGTGTTTACTGAAGGGCAACAGGTTTAGAGCTGACACAAAGGACCCTTCACAGCTGGGTCTGCAGCAGTGTTTCTCAAAGTGTATTCCACAGAACACTGCTCAGTAGGTTAAGAATATTTAAAATGTGGAATAACATTGTTATTGGTGGCCAAACTATGTTAAGAAATGCAGCGTTAAATAAGGCTTTGCAGACCCTGTCACTGCAGGTGCTCAGGCCTCTAACAGGTTGAGGGGCACTGTGACTTTCCAAGGGGCCCATCTTATTATACACACCTCCCCTATTTGGCCTCATCTTTTTAAATTTTTTTCTAAATGAAATATCTTACAGAGCTCATGAACTGTGGGATGCATTTGCAGAGGTGGTACAAAGAAATCTGACCAGGTCGTCGCTACCGAATTTTTCACATTTTATTTTTGCCAATCAGGGCCTGCCTATGGCACCTGTCCCCTGACAAACAAAATCTAGCTGTATTCCGGCTGCCTTTCCCACAGTCTGGGCGACAGACACATCCAATGCTGGGGCTCGTGTGGATGTGCAGGGCTGTGTATGGGATATGGGTGACAAAGAACCTGAACCCTCCATTCAGAGCGACACCTACCTTCTGCCCCAAGAGGCCAGGAAGCCCAGGGGAGCCTGCAGCCCCCTTCTCACCCTGCAGGGAGATGCAGACAGTGGGGGTTAGGAAGAGTTTCTGCAGCAGGTCTGGGAAGCCACCAGCCCCACGGCTTAGGGCCTTGCCTTCCCTTGCTCCTGCCCCCTGCCCCTGCCCTAGCTGGCTTTCCAAAGAGCTCTACCTCCCCTCAGCCCCGATCCTGGCTGGCTACTCTCTGGGCCACTTCGCACTGGTGACACCTGCATGACTGCTTTCCTCACTCCCATGTGACCCGGGCCCATGTCACTCATGCTGGGGAGAAATGACATGGGCCACAGATCATAACAAAGGCCAGAAGCATCTAGTATATCCTGGGGGTCTCCTGCGAGAGGTGAGCAGTTCAGAATGCCAGTGGTTGGGCAAGTGAATCCTTTTCACCACTCTGCTCTTCTTTAGATTCTTAATGCTTAGCAACTAAGGGCCCCCAGTCTTTTCTGGCACCCCTTCTCTGCCTCTAGCTGTAACCAGCTCACTGTATTTGGACATAGGGTCATTACAAATGTAATGAGTTAGGATGAGGTCACACTGGAGTAGGGTGAGACCCTATCCAACGTGCTGATGTCCTTATAAAAGGGAGAAATTTGGGCACAGACATGCACACAGGGAAATGCCATGTGGAGATGGAGGCAGAGATTGGGGTGCTGTGTCTATAAGCCAGGGAATGCCAAAGACTGCAGGAGGCACCAGAAGCCAGGAGAGAGGCCTGGAGCAATCTCCCCCCTCGGCCCTCAGACAGAACACACCCTGCTAACACCTTGCTTTTGGACTTCCAGCTTCCAGAACCATGGGACAATGAATTTCTGTTGCTCAAACCACCCAGCCTGTGGTACCGCAGCCCTAGCAAAATAGTACACTTCCCTACCCAGCTTCGTCCACTATGGAAGAAGTTTTTTCCCCCATGACATGAATCAAAGAGTCCCTTAGAGATACTGAACCCCATTCTCATTTCACAGATTTGGCGAGGGAAGCCCCAAGACGTTATGTGGCCAACCCCTTACTGAGTTAGAGGCAGAGGCAGGTCGAGCCCATGTCTCCTTGATGCTCCGCCTTCTAGGACACAAAGGCTTCACAGAGCATCTGTCTTGGTCAGCTCAGGAGCCATAACAAACTCTATAGTCTGGGTGGCTTTGCCAGCAGAAATGTATTTTCTTGCAGCTCTGGAAGCTGGAAGTCTGAATCAGGAGCCAGTATGGCCAGGTTCTGGTGAGAGCCCTCTTGCCAGCTTGAAGATGACAGCCTTCTTGCCATGTTCTCATGGCAAGAAGAAAGGTCTTTCAAAGGTCTCTCTCGTTCCCTTTTTCTAGGGCTGCCAATCCCACTGGATTAGGGCCTCACTCTTATGACCTCATTTAACTTTAACGACCTCCCCAAGTCCCTATCTAAATACAGCCACACTGAAGGCGAGGGCTTCAACATATGGGTCTGGGAGGGACACACTCGGTGCATAGCAGTGTCCAATATCAGGTGAGCACCCAAGAGCACCCCACCAGCAGGGCAGGGGTATCAGGTCAGCACAAGAAGCTTCGCTCCCCTTGGCCCTGGGGAGAGGCAGCTCTCCGGTATAATAATGTGAGCTGAGAGCTCTGGGCCTATAATTTGGTCAGATGTCTCAATGAACATTCCAGCTGGAGCCACAAAAGGTGCCAAACTGTCTTTGGGTGTTGCCTCCTTGTCACCTGCCCCGGGGTAGCAGCTGAATGGTAAAGTGGCCCAATGCTGGCCAGGAGGTGTTGTGGAGAGCCAGGCAGAGGTCCTGGCGGTGGGAGGGAGCCCCCGCTGCCCTGTCTTTCCTGGGCTGCTCCTGTAGATGTGCTTATGCTGGGCATCCTTCAGAAGCAGGGCAGGTGGAGAAGGAAAGGATTTGGGTCCTGACCTATGGAGATCCTTGGGGAACAGGAGCGGAGGGAGGCAGTTTCCTCCTCCTGCTGGGCTTTCTGCTGGGTAATCAAGGCTCCCCAGGAGAGTGTGTATGCTCTTGAGTGTGGGTTTCTGAAGATTGGCCAGGCCATCCCGCCACTTCCCTCATTCCAGGACACATGCACCAACAGCATGCTGCAGGAGACATACCAGCCAGAGGAGGGGCAGGGAGCAGGGGACCGGCCAAGCCAGGACGAGAGGGCGCACACTCAAATACATGATATCCTACCCTCTGCCCCCTTTTTCCCAGCAAACCTGGGGGCCCCGGCTTCCCTTCTGCTCCTGGGTCTCCCTTTGGGGTAAGAAGAGAAAGTCACTGATAAGAAGGTGGGGCAGGGAGTAAGAGGTAGGATGGGCAGTGATCATTGACCAGCATTTCCAGAATACTTGTCCCTTAAGCTCTTCTCTAAAAAAGGGTGTTCTTGTCAAAAAAGTTTTGAAAATGCCACATAAGATATTTCCTTTTGAGAGTTCCTCAATGCATATTTAGCAAATTAAAGGTTCTGAGAAGGTCTGCAGCAAAGAAACCTGTGTCATATTTTTAACCTAGTATTTCTCAAAATTATTTGACCATGGAAATTTTTTTCTTGTCACATCTCTTATTGTCACACAAGAGAGAAAGGGAGCCCTGAGGGTGCAGGGGACAAGAGTCACTGCCTGCTGCAGCTGGTGTGCCTGCAGGCCAGGACCCAGGGAGGGGGAGGCATTTGCAGTGTGTTCCTGAACAGTGGGCCCTTCTCTGCTCAGCCAGGTCCCCAGCCCCAGGCCAGCCTCATGGGGACTAAGAGCAAAACAGCAGCAGCCCCTCCCACCTCCGCCCCATGACTGACGCTCTGTGCAGCTCGGAACATTCTCTCTGCATCAGTACCTTGGTTCCTGGGATCCCTGGCTCACCCTGTGTGGAAAAAGAGAAACAAATGTGAGAGACTGTAAAAGCAGAAAGAAATGACAAATGAGCAAGGCACCTGTTGGTTGTCGGGGGGAAGAGTCAGGGTGGGTTAGTGAAGCATCTGGCCAGCCCTGGCTTTTCTCTGTTCAGGCATCAGGCTTCTGACCCTTAGAGGGTCCTACTCTTCCCCGAGATGAGGGGTGTGGCAGATGGGAGCGTAAGTGAGGCAGCCAGGGAGGAAGGAGAGGAAGGAATGGGTATTTGGTTTGGACATGGTGCTCCCTGCAAGTGGACCTGCCGTGAAGATCGACTTTGAGCACTTGCTTTTCCAGGCAGTCCGCACATCTGCCGGCCAACCAAATGCGCAATTAGGGTGGGGGTTTGGAGAAGAACTCCTGCTGTCCCTGAAGCTTTGGAAACTTATAGCTGCTGAATTACAGAACATAAAGGAAAGATCTGGGCTGCCTTCCCACTGCCTTGGTGCACTGGCAGGCTAGTGAGAACTTCAGTTACTTGCAAGGCTTAGTTACACAGCTGTGGCTCAAGGTTATGCACCTGGCACAAATGCTACTTTGAGAAAAATGTTTCCAAATCCTGCCTGCCCCCTCTTTGGTCTGGTAGTTACCCCACTGAGCCTACAATTCCCAGCTCTGACCGCTCACATCTCCCACCTGTCCCTGATGTGTTGGTTACAACAGTCCACTGACCTTCATCCCAGCCACAGCAATTCCGGGAGTCCCCTGGAAGACAGAAAAAAAAAAGGTCTGAAGATGTTCTGCAGCAAGGGAACAGTTGGAGGGGGGCGGTGTGGAGCAGTGGACAGCCTCCCCATGGTGAAATGGGAAGGAGGACCACTCACTCACTCCTCCCAACCCCGCAACCACCAACCCTGCCCTGGGAGGTGCAGGTGCTGAGCTGACACCTTGAGAATGGATCTGGAGGAAGAGGCTTTGTACAGCTCAGCCTTCGGGTCTCCCTGGGCTTCCCAACCATGTGAGCAGCTCAAGGCCACCTAATTTGAAGGATATATGACGCCCAAAGTGCCCCTTAGCAAATCCGAAGTGGAGGTGATTTTGGGGGATCCTTCCTTTCCACTTAGGTTTTAGGAATGCAGTGGAGCTGGGGGTACTTTGGATGGCTTTTAATGACCCAGAGATGCCCAGGAGGAGGCTGCCTACATCAAGGGCACTCATGAGAGACCACAGTGCTGCAGCTTGGAGGGCCAGGGCAGGCAAAAGGAGGCCCAGAGAGCTGGGACTCCAGAGGGTCCCTGGACCTGCGGAGAGAGGGGGCGGGGCCTTTGAGCTGCCTGAATGTGGGGAAGGGGAAGGTACCTTGGCTCCATGCTTGCCTGGCATCCCTGGCATGCCCCGTTCTCCCTAGAGGACAAAATAAGAGAAAGGATGAGGAGAGGACCAGACTCAGGGCCTGGCAGCCCGCAAGGATGTGGGTGAGAATGGCTAGTCTGGAGGCTGGGATGGCTGTTCCTTTCATGCTGAGCACCGAAGACCTTACCCTGGTGGCAGCCAAGTGGGCCCCTGCCCTCAGCTATGTGAACTTGCAGGAGGGCCCAAGTTACAGGTCACAGAGCAGGAAAGGCCCCCAGAGAGAGAGAGGCCCACCTAGAGGAATGCAAATTCAGCAAGGGAAGGTGACTTGCTCGAGATCTACCTACTACTCCATGGTTGAGAGCTGTACCTGGAACCTGGGCTGTGGGGTGGGACCAGGGCCAGCAGCCCCCCATTGGTCGCTTACCTACTGCATACCTTCCCTGCCGTCCCTGCCTCCTTTTCCCTCCAGCAGCTTTGCTAGGATGGTACCTTCAGGCTGAGCCAGACAGGGGCTCTCTTCTCTTTTCATCTGGGGTTCCGTTCCCTTCCAAGTCCCCAGGGTCTAACTCTTCCCAAAGGCATGTGCCCCTGCCTATTTCTCTGCACCCTATTTCTGACCCTACTTGTCCGGAGGCACAGGTAGGGTCACCTGTCCTTTGTTGCTTCTCTGGGATAGCATAGGCTCTGCTCTACCATTTCGGCACTGCCCCATTTTTATGTTCAACCTCTTCTCTTTTTCTGAGATGGAGTCTCGCTTTGTCGCCCAGGCTGGAGTGCAGTGGTGCCATCTCAGCTCACTGCAACCTCCACCTCCTAGGTTCAAGCGATTCCCCTGTCTCAGCCTCCCAAGTAGCTGGGATTACAGGTGCACACTACCACATCCAGCTAATTTTTGTATTTTTAGTAGAGATGGGGTTTCACCATATTGGCCAGGCTGGTCTCAAATTCCTGACCTTGTGATCTGCCCACCTTGGCTTCCCAAAGTGCTGGGATTACAGGCATGAGCCACTGCACTCAGCCCATGTTCTTTACCTCCCCATGAAAATGACAAATCTATGAGAGCAGGGTGAGATCAGGAAGGAGGACACACCACAAGGAGGTGGAGTTGGAGATGACAGCGAGTGACAAATGGGAGGCCAAGAGCACGTAAGTCAGGACTATCACTGGCTACATCAGGGGAGGCGGGAGGGCAGCTCCTGGCTCCGTGAGTTGAGTCCTATGATCGTGCCTAAGCATGAAGCCCTAGCTGGGGCCGGGATGGTGTCCAGCAACAGGTGGCAGTGGCCAGCCTGCTGCGCTTCCTCCATCTGAAGGCCAGCGCTGTGGATGGGCAACACAGAGGCTGACAGTCCTGCTCCCAGCCCAGCTGCCCCATTGGGTGCGACGGCTGTGGCTGCCAGGCCAGGCTGCAGTTCCCATTGGCTTAAAGACAGAGGGGACCTGGTGTTCCCTGGCTTCCCTCTCAGTTGTCCATGCTCTCCCTTTCCTGCCATCTTACAGGAAGTTCTGGTCCACCCTCCTTGCCAAGGCTAGAGTCCTTCCACCCTCTTCCTCCATGACGGGTCTTCCAGGCAAGTGTCCACTTCAGCTTCCTAATACACAGGCTGGATAGCGAGACCCCTGCCTTAAAACATCCCTGGCCTGGCGTTGACAGTGGGAAAAGGACCAGGTTCCTAAGCATGACGTTCTGACCTCTGCTTCCTTTCCAGCCTCATCACCTGATATGGGGTGCATCAGCTAGTATCTGTGTCCCTGAAAACACCACCAATTTCCATGGTTCTGTCTTTCTACCATTTCTTCAACTTAAAACCCTTCATCATTTGGAGTCTTGGTCGATAAAGCAGCCAGAGCTTCTCTGGTGCACTGGGCTGAACTGCCGTCACACATTGACCCCCGCACCCCTATGGACCACAGACCTGAGGGCCTCCAAGTAGAGAGCGGCTCTGCCCAGCTTTCAGCCTGCAGAGGCTGTTTGATGGGAGTGGGGCCCTTTGAACTCTTCTATGAAGCTTTTGGTATCCCCTCTAATCCAGCACTACATCCACAATGCAGCAGGGACCACTTAGCATTTGTAATCTGCACACACAAATTTCTGTCTGCCTGACATGGCTTCACCTTTATCCTCTTTGGGCCAAGTCTCTACATTCTACAAAAGGCCTAGAATCTTTAGTTCCCAAAGCCAGCGCCCTCTCTCAGCCTGACCCCACCAGTGATCCCTGAAGCACAGGTGAGATGGCAGAGTTAAACTCAGGAGGTTATCATGGCAGAAAATCCAGTGCCCCAGGCCTGCCCTAGCCATTAATTTCCTTCTTGTGGGACTGAGAGAGAAGGGCACGGCCATTTACTGCAGCTGTCACTTGTCTGCACTGGGCTGAAAAGCTTTATGCATCTCCCACAGTCCCTTCCAGTGTGGCAGTGGACGTTACTCTTGTTCCACAGGGAAGTGAACTGCGGCTCCCAGAGCCCAGGCATGATTGCCAAGGTCATGCAGCCTAGGGCTTTGGATAGTGTCTTGTCTGTTATGCCAAGGTGCTCATTTCTCTCAGCCAACCCAAATATTAGATGGACTAATGCTCTATCTCCTTTGCAGGCTGAAAGCAGAGTAGAGCCTCTCTTTGCTTGAGGAGGTCCTTAGGTCTGTGACCTATAGGGGTGCAGAGGTCAGTGTGTGAAGGCAGCTCAGCCGGGGTGCTCAGAAAAGCTCAGAGTGGGGCACTGCCTGCGTGCACAGCTGCTCTGTGGCCAGCAGAGGGCGAGGCAGCCCCTCTTCTGAAGGCCGGTCACTCTGGTCACTCCGGCCACAGCAGTCTCCAAGCCTTCTCAGTAGCACCAGCTAAGGGCTCCTGTCATTCTTTCCTTTGGAGGGTCCCCGCTAACATTCTGAATGAACAAACCAGTTTGATTCAGTACAGAGGCCCCACAGTCCCCTGTTGTGGGTGCAGGTGGGAGGTCAGCTTGGGAGTCCTTGACTATTCTGAGCCCCCTCCCCCATCATCCCTCTCTTCCAGTTTCTCTGTCTTTCCTCTTGCTTTTCCCCAACGCCCCCACCCTCCTCTTCCCACCTCCATTTCGCAGAGCCTGGCTGGGAGTGCACGTGACCACGGAGAAGCCACTTTCTCCCACTGGTTGCAAAGTGAGGTTAGATCAGATCTCTCCCATCCACTGCCGCTCCTCGGCCTCTTCCCACCCACCCCAGCCCTGTCTCTGCTCGCCTGCATGGCCCTTAGGAAGGGGAGAGGCCAAACCTGGAGAGGTGGCACTTGGCTTGGTTGGCAGCTCCAGAAAAAGGCTCTGTGGAAGAGGGACTCTTAGCTTTGGCTAAAAATGCAGCTCCAGGAGGGGGCTCAGTGGGTCTCTGCCCTTCCCTCCCCCTGCCCACAGGGGTGCTCCTGCAGGGAGGAGGTGGGGTCTGCTTCAAGCTTGTCTTTGAGCTTCCGGAAGAAACTGTGCAGAGCAAAACCCCGGAGCGTGAGGGTCTCCAGGCTAATTGAGGTTGTCCTCAGCCCCCTGTTGATGTGAGTGTGTGAAGACACAATCAGGCACTCAGGGGAAATCAGAGCCCCGGGAGCCTCCTCAGAAGGCAGCCCTCCTTGTTAGGGTGGCTGACCTTCGCCCCTTCCCTCCCCTCTGGGTCAATTCTCTTAATTCCGCAAATGACCCAGGCTCCCCTGATCCCCATGGCAGGGCCTCCCTCCCTCCCACCCCCTTGCTGGGCAGGAAGCAGGGGTGCCCCCACTGGCCTCCCCCAGCTGACCTCGCTCAGCCGATCACTCCACTCTCATTAGGCTCACTCCTCAGGGCTTGTCTCCAGGGACCTGCCCCTGCCTGGCCTCTGGACTGGGGAACCAGGCTTCTCCTAAAGCAGAAAACATTGGTTCCTGGATGATGGGTGAGGTGAGAGTCATTATCAAGGACTCCAGCGTCGCTGTGGCCGGGGACCATGTGCAGGAGACAGGAGGCGGGGGTGGGGGGGTGGGGGGGTGGTTATTGCCGGAGGAGGACGGTGGCCCACCTCTGTTCAGAGGGCTGCTCCTTGGGGCATGTCTTTATGAGAGCCTGTCTAGAGGCTCCTTCTTTCCTAATTCCTCTCTTAGGTTTTCCTATTTGAAAAGTTTATTAGGAATTGTGCTCAGTATACATCCACTTACTCATTGCTATCTTCGTTTTTGGAGGACCTGCCTCTCTCAGTCCAGCGAAGTCCATAGGCCTCGATTTACCTCCTCTACCTCTTCCCTCCCTCATCTTCCCAGCAGGGATTCAGAGGTTCCCCTGGGGGCTCTCAGCCGCCTTACTTGGGTTGGGCAAGCAGGCGCAGTGAGCCTCACAAAAGGTATCGATCATGTGCATGGAGTGATGGCAGAAGCTGTGACTCCTGGGCCAACATCCAGCCACCCCTCTGCAAGGCTGGCTTTTTAACCTCAGTGCCAAGAACCAATGCAGGAAGGGGTGGATTGTCGTCACTGCAGCTGAGAAGGCTCTGGGGGAGCACAAGTGGGTAGAGAGGTTTGCTTTGAATGATCTTAAAGGCCTGTCCCATCCCTGACTTTGAGGCTGCCACTCAGACTCCCCAGCTGGGCCCTGCACCTGAGCACAACAGAGCATTGATAGGTCCTCTGTTCTGGCCTGAGCTTCCAGGTGGGAGGATGCATCCTTTACAGAGATGATGGAATGGAAGCGAGCTCCTTGGAGCATAAGCCAGCCATGCTCAGATCCTGTGGGAGCGATGATTTACTGTTGGTTGAACAAGCTGAGCAGGGACTTGCCAAAAAAGCAGTCTGGAGGGAGGAAGGGGGCTTCAAGGTCAGCTCCCAGCCAAACCAAGGTCAGGCCAGGGAAGCTTGGGGAAATAAATGAATCTCCCTAAGATTAAGCCTAGGTTCTGCCGAAGCTGGGTCTGGGTTGGAAAGCCCTGGGCGAATGCATCTGGGCTCACAGGCTCTTTGTTCTCTGCAGGGGAGGAGGAAGGCCTGCCTGAGAGTGTGGGGAGTTTGGGGGTGGGGGAAGGGGGCAGTCGGTGGACGGCTCAGGCCTCGAGCCTGGACCAGGGT